AACAGCTAGAACAACTTCAGCAAGTTTTCTTAGATCTTTATCCGAAGAGAAGGTCTTCCAGTAGCTAAATATATCAATATCTAATGAAACTTTTCTCCCATTTGCGAATACACTCAACTTTTGCCGTAAATTATGGACTACCTCTACGTCACTTGAGGTACTTCACAAATATATTTTTCTAAACGGGAAAAAGAGTTCCTGGATGTAGAAGGCAAACATTCAGAATATTGCAAATTCAGATTTTGAGGACTCGATGACATTGAATTTTCGGAGCTTTCCATTCGCAGCATATTTTCGTAGGTTTTAATCAAATGATTCTGAATAAATAAAAGTGTAGCATTTAAAACTACAAAAAGTGTAAATAATATTTGTATGACAGTAGAAGTAAATTGTTTTTGAAATTTAAGACTCAAAATTCAACGTGTTCCTACTGGAGCATGAGTTTCACTGCACACAGCACACACCTGTGCATGTGTTTTATATCGAACAGCACACCCATGCGCATGTGCCATTTTTCTAATTTTTGAAGCACACACATGAGCGTGTGTTTCATATCAAAGCGCACACGCGTGAGTTGTGCGCAAGATTCTTGTTTTATAAACGCACACTCATGTGTATGAGCGAAATGTGCTGAGATGTGCGGATCATGCGCATGCAAATACGAACCCTGCCAGAAATAGTCACAAAAGAGTCCGAAGTAGTCAGATTTAGTCCAAAAAGCGTTCCTTAACTCGAAAACGACAGCAAAAATGAGAGAGCATCACTCAGTGAGAGTGACTCTCTTCAGTCCGAAGTAGTCAGCAGTGTTGCCAGGCCTTCGGCATGAGGAAACGTCCCTCTTTTTTTATAATAAAAAAGATATTTTTTCTCAAATTTTTATATACGAAGTATACAAATATGCATATCAGAAGGGGATTTAATCGTCTTTACAACGATCTCAATTTTTTAAAAATCGGTTAGTAATCGTTTTGTTTAAAATATTTTTTTCTTTAAAAAAAGGTATTTTTTTCAATTTAAATGTGTTTTTTCTACAATTTTACAAATACAAATATGCATATCACCTGTAGCACCTGTAATATAAGTTTGTACAAAAAAAGTTATATACAATTTAAATAAGAGCAAAAGGAGGTTTTTAGTTATTTATAGGCAATAATTAAATATAATTTTTTATCAAACGTCCTATTTTGAACTTCGAAGGCCTATATCTCGATTTCGGAGGCTAACTTCGAAAAACGGAGAATTTACTTTTTTACCTATGACTCAATCTCTTAAAAAAAAAATTGGTTTGGTTCAATACCCAGAAAAAAAGTTGGTTTTGCCGTACAGTGTTATCAAAGGTGAGGCAAAAGATTCGTTTTTCAGTTATTTAAAAGATTTTAACCTAGCCCATTGTTGAAATGACCGCTACATTTTCTTCTAGGTAATGTAAAATTTTCATAACTGTATCAATTACCCGCAGCTCACTCGCACAAACTATGTATTAATTATTTCTATGGGAGTATACATATATATGTGTTTTGAAACTTAAAAGCGTTTTTCTCGGGTTTTCGGTTTTTTGAGTTATTGCAGTACCTATTGAAGTGAATGAGCGCTATGTTCATTTTCATAAACTCATATTGGATATCGAAGATATTATTCGAACGTTCGCCACAATATTTATTGGGCAATTAAAAAAAAAAAATACTTAAAAAAGTTCTTAACCGGTCGATACATTTTGGCATTCGAAATATTTACTCAGTACTTGTCAAAAAGTATCGAGTGCTCGCTACTACTCAGTACTCATGAAAAGTATCGATATTCTGTACTCGGTACTCGTATCGTTCTATCACTAGTTATGACAGTATTGAAGTAAATGAGCTTTATGTTCATTTTCATAACATTCATATTGGATATTGAAGTTAATATTCGAACGTACGCCACAATATTTAATGTGTAATTTAAAAAAAAAAAAAAATTACTTAAAAAAGTTCTTAGCTCGTCGATATTTTTCGGCATTCGCGATATTTACTCAGTACTTGTGAAAAAGTATCGAGTTCTCGATACTACTCAGTACTCATGAAAAGTATCGATATTCTGTACTCGTTACTCGTATCGTTCTGTCACTACACAGGCCTACAAAAATTACAAAAAAGTTCAGACCCTTGGGACTAGCTTATACTTTTCTAAAGACCTTTATTGCGCTGAATCTGAATCCAAAATCAGCTTTGCTCGATTGGCTTACGTTTTCGAGATATATGAGCCTAAACATGCGAAAAACCCGATTTTTTGCTATATTCTTCATGTATTTTCATCAAGAATAGTTCGTTGTTTTACAAAATTGAATAAATCATTTGAAAGTAAAATATTTTCCCTTCATAATGCTGTTTAACTCAACGAGATGTCTTATTTTAAACCTGAGATATTGTCCATTGAAGTTTACGAGTTTTGCGACATTACTACTTTGCACAAATGCTTGAAAGATACAACACGAAAAGAAACAGATTTGTGGTATACGTTTAGGCGTCTTTATTTACATAATGAATGTATGTGTATAAGTGCGCGTGCATAGAGGAAACTTATTTCGTTTAAGAATTTAAAGCTGATGCCAGATAAAACTTTGTCGCTTTGCGTGACATTTGTAACTTTGTCAGAAAAGCGAAAAACGCAAAAGAGATGCTACAATAAACGCTTTGACAACACTCTCTTGTTTATCGTGAAAGTAGCACTGAATTTCATAAATATACATACATACGTGATTTTTATAAGTTTTAAATAAATATTCTGGATGTTTTTGGACGATATCTTAGAATTGTTATTAATAGTGCTATTAATGCATGAAGCCTTGACGTGTTTGGAAAATATTTCAAGGCGGCGGGTATGGGTGAGGGAACTTTACCAGGATCGGGACAATGCGGGCCTATTCGCTGCCACTTTCGAAAAAATGTATCAGCGTGATCCGGAGCAGTTCAAGAAGAGTGTTCGGATGACCTGTGATGTGTTCGACTTGTTGCACCAATTTCTGGAGCAACGTCTTACAAAATCATCCAACAGGCCGTCGATATCCTCA